CAACAGACATTTTATCTTCAACTTGACTATAAGCGATTGATTGTGCTCTTTTATGGCTCTATCGATTTCTTTCTCGTGTATTCGCTCAATTAAACCTAGATCAAATAATTTATTTTCTTGTTCTACTTAGGCAGCTACCTGAATCAAGAAAAATAAATATTTACAATTTTGTGTTAGATTTGTTATAAACTTGCTTTTTTTCCTTTTTTGAGACTACGATGAAAAAAACAGATTTGATCTCAATAGCTAATTTATATCAATATCGGGCCCGAAAGGTTGACGCATCTTGCTATAAAATATAATGATGAGGAGAGTTTCATTCCCAAGTTTTAGTTTCCAGTTCGGATTAGGGGTGGCGATACTCTGTTAATTTATTTAAAATTTAAATTTTCCAGATATGGAAATTTATGTTTATTTGAAATGTAAATTTTAAAAAGTTAAATTTATTTAAAATTACATCAATTTTAAATTCAGTTTAAATCAATATAAATCCAATTTAAACGAAATAAAATTCAATGTAAATTCATTTAATTAGATTTAAATCCCATTTAAATTAATGTGAATGGTTTGGAGTCCAATTAAATGAATTTAAATTGAATTTATATTGATTTATACTGGACTTAAATAAATTTAAACTTACAAAATTTATATTTGGATTTACTAAACTTTCGTAAATATGAATTGATTAACCCTAGTCCTGATTTCTACACATAAATATTCAATTCCCATTCGCCACTATTTTATGCGAACAGATACTTTCATGATCGGTTATTTTCGCCGGATTTTTGTCAGTTTGGCTGTAAAATTCATCCGGTCAGTTGCTGGTCGGACCGGACCGGGCAGAAAAAAATTGTCCGATTCCAACTCTGACTCAATCTTAATACTATCATCAAGAACATATGAAAGGATATTATTTTTGTGTAGGAGAAAAAACAGTGAGTTTATCAAATTGATCTGAGAGAGTGAAGTTCTTTTTTATTTGTATAAATGGAATCTATAATTATGCAAATCTTATTTTATGCAGAAAAAGATAAAAAATAAAAAAAAAGAATATTTTTACTAAAACTAAATGTGTTCTCATTCATCATAGGAGTATTCATAGATTTACATTATTCTATGATCATATTCTAATTGATAAAATGAATGACTTACTATAGAATCGAATTAATGATGTTTGAATATAACAACTATTCAATGAACTTGATGAAAGCTTTTGTTGGATATTAATACCACGTTTATAATCATTTGATACAGTGCATGCTTTTATTGCCATGTCAATAGTATAATCTGTACAAATTTCAAAGTTTTGATCGAAAAGATCTAAAGCTTGGTTATATTGTTTTGCATCAATCAATTCTTTAACTGTTGAGTTTAATTTGATGGATGATGAAATTGTAGATTTTTCATTACTTTTATTATATATCGATAATAACCTTTGAAATCGATATATAGAAATAAAATTATTTTTAATCATTAACATTTTTTTTTATTTGCAATAATATAAGTAATATGGAAATACATCCTAATTTAAAAAAAAAGTAATTATAAAAAATTTATTCTTTTGAAATCGATCATTGAAAATGAAGGTTATTGATTTTATAACTTAGACAAAATTTATTGTTAAAATTATTCTATATTAACTAACAAATTAAAAACTTATTCATTGACAATGATATTATGAAAATATATCATCCAAATTAAACTTACAATCGACGAAATATATTTTTTTTTATTGTTATATATCAAACTAATATGAAAATGAATAAAAAACAGAAAAATAAAAGATGTATTTGTTTGTATAAAAATGTTTTGCATGTTTTTTTTTTTCATTTTTTGTAGGACAATTAATTTGACAGTTGACTAATTAATTTGTGACATTTCTATATTAAATTTCAACACAAATGATTTAATATTCCTTTTTTAAGTTTATGTTTTAATGGTTGTTTATTGATGTAAAATTTCACAATTAAAACAAATTTTTTTATTCAACTATTGACAGAAAAATATTCTAAGGCAAAAAGAAAATGATCTGATGAATTATTTTTGAAATTTAAAAATTTGACTCTTCAAATAATCTTTAGCCCTATTTGAAAATACGAAAAATTGTTGTTGAAATTGTGTATATCTATTTTAAAGTGTCTATTCAGAAATCACATTGAATGAAAAGACTTTTCAAATAAATTTATGATTTTTTCAATATAGAAAATTTAACAAGAAAAACTATGATTTTTCTAACACAAATAAACATAATCAATAACTAGAAATGTCTTATAGATCATAAACTTCAAAACAAATAGAATTCATTTTGTATTAATTCAATTCTTTTTTTTCTTTGTATAAAATATTAAAATAAACTATTTGATTATTATCTAATAATCTCCTTCTATTATATGTATTATTTTACTTTTTATTTTTTGATCTATTTTTTCATTTTCATATTATTTTAAAGAAACGAAATATATATTTCAATTGTAACTTTAATTTCAATAATAGATTTTCATAATATCATTGTTAGTGAAATCATTTTTGTGATTTTATTTAATATAAAATAATTTAGGCACAACATGCTTCAGATGAATTTACATCTAGTACACATAGACTTTCAGGAATATACCTGAAGTAGTTATTGAAGCAAATTGTGTACCTCTTTCTCTCCTATATGGATAAAACATCTATAAGAAGTCGCTAGTTATTAATATTATATGTTATTCTTTCATGAGAAACTTGATTAAAAAAATCAAATGAATAATAATAAAAATGAATGAAAAGAGAAAAACAATTGATTAGTCTTTACAATCAATCTATCATATATATGTATATAGAGGTCGCTCAGAAATCACATTATCATGTTTTGACCATGTTAGATCCGTTTATTTGCACCTTATTCTCAGCTGAGGCCTCGAGCAGACTGAAAAAAATAAAACGAATTAAGTAACGTAATTGGTCTATTTCGATCTTAATCGTCTTTTTGAGACGATTTATTCGTTAATTCAATTTTAATTCGCTTTGAATTAGTCGGTCTGTTTGGGGCCTGACAGATTTCAAAAATATCACGTTTGATAAAAAAGGCAAGGCAAGGAGTTTAAAATGACCAAAAAATGATCATATAATCTTTCAGTGACTTCTATATAGATTTATATGATAGATTGATTGTGAAGACCAATCAGTTGTTTTTTTTTCGTTTCCATTTAATTGAATAGATTTATAGATTGTGAACAAGTACGAAATGAAAAAACAACAATAAAATTGAGAGTAGTTTTCATGGAAATCTATTCGAGTAGTGTCAAATATAATGATGATGATGATGATTTTGATGCATTTGAAAAATACACAAAAGGTATTGATTTGCAACAACTAATGAAGATATGTTTTATTTGTGATTATTTTACTCAAAAATTCTATTAAGAGAAGTGATCTTTTTTGTTGTCAAGATTATTATTCATGTTTGAAAGAATACTCTAGAGAAAGTACTGACGAGAGAACATTCTCAACTGTCAAATCGTTTTTGAGTCGAGCGTATGCGCATCGATAGGCCCTAATGATCTATGAATACTCTGAAAAAAGTTCGTGCTGCTACCTTATTACTAACGAGATATTGCATTTTTACTGTATGTTCAAGAAAAAAAGCCGTGGTCCCTCTCAGGAACATTAGAAAGACTAAGTTTCGAATTTCAACTTGAAACTTTGTACAAGGACAGGTCTCAATGCGAATAATTTATTGTGAAAGTTTCAGATCTTTTCGCTGTTCCTATCCTAAGATACAGCTATGGTAAAATAGCTTATACACACCAGCAGGTTTCGATGTTCTTATTTCAGATTAGAAGCAATCAAAAGATCTAAAACTTTCACAATAAATTATTCGCATTGAGACCTGTCCCTGTACAAAGTTTCAAGTTGAAATTCGAAACTCAGTTTTCCTAGTGTTCCTGAGGGGAATCACGGCTTTTTGCTTATACATACAGTAAAAATGCAATATCCCGGCAGTAATAAGCTAGCAGCACGAACTTTTTTCAGAGTATTCAGAGATCATTGGGGTCTACATGATGCACATACACTCGACTCAAAAGCGATTTGACAGTTGGGAATGTTCTGTCGTGAGTTTAGGGTACCCATGTACTGAGAAAGCCTTAGCAGGGTACGTAATATGGGTACTTCGAAAATTCGTAGTAATTATACTGATGTGGGTATTGCAAGGGGTACCCATAAAAGTACGCTCACTGAGCAAGTGCTGGTATGGATACTCACATCTGTAATTTTACTGAGGAAAACTCTACAGAGTACCCTACATTTGTCGCGTTCTGCGTAGCGACTGTTCATTCACCGTTTTCTTTTTCGCGCATGGCCCTGTATAAACAACTGAGCAAAACAGAAGAAATTAATCTGTTTTCATAAGAATTTTTTTCAGATTATTTCTTCACCATTTTTTAACTATTTCTTAGTAGAGAATTCAGAGCTTTTTCTTGAAAACCAGGATTGCTACGAAAAATTTTCATGGATAAATGAAGTAAGATGCTGATATAATGCGCGTCTTGCAACATCCACACATCTTGAAACTCTCACCCTCAAGAAAAATTTCGGTTTCGGTTCCGGGTAAGAGAAACCGAAAAATCCTGTCCTCGGTTCGGTTCTTCGTTCCATTTTTTTGGAACCACAGGGCTCGAAACTGAATGTTGGTGTTGACTGCTCCTAGTCTACAGCCATACCATTTCACATCCACACCCTCTTTAGATCAAATTTTTGTTAATATCCAATGCTTGCTTGTCCTTTTCTAGTAATGTTAATTGAGATATAAAATGCAAAAACAAGAGTGACATTCTTGTTAAGAAAATGTTAATTTTATTATCTTCTATGTATTTACAGTGCACTTAATATCTACCTACTCACAGCTACTTGTGAAAGTTGCATAAATGAAGAGACAGAAAATATTGAATATAAAAAAAAAGATTCAGATAGTTGATGTGAACTTTATTCTAAGGTTATTTTAGTTCTAACGATTAGTAATGATACTATTTTGTATGCTAATTTTTCTTTGTATTGTGCAATCTAGTGCTCAAGCTGTTTACACATGTAATTCAAATGCATCTTGTGGATGTTCGACTAATTCAACAACAGTTAACCGTATTATCAATGGAGAAACAGCAGAGGCAACTGCCTGGAGCTGGACTGTATCACTTTTAATTGAATTTAGCTATTTTTGTGGAGGATCCATTTTATCGGATTCTTGGATCATTACTGCAGCCCATTGTATGGAGAAAGTCAAACCATCAGATGTTATTGTTTATGCAGGATCAAATATTCGATTTACAGGTAGTCAATCTAGAAAGCCTTCACGTATTGTTGTGCATCCAAATTATGATTCTTCAGCTTATACGAATGACATTGCTCTAATAGAATTATCTTTTCCACTCAACATGATGGATTCTAGTATTCATACACTTTGTTTACCATCTGTTCATTCATCAATACTAGCGAATGGTGAATGGCCAGTACCCAATACAACTGTAAGTGATTCTCTCTCGTTTTCTGACATCTAATTTTGATAAAATAGGTCATAGCCGTCGGATGGGGTAGGATGGCTGGAAATGATTCGTCTTCCATGACTCTTCAACAAGTCACCTTACAAATAATAGCCTATCAAGTATTTACTTGCAGCTCAGTAATCAACGATCGACGATTACAACTATGTGCTGGTGTATCTGATGGTAGTAAAGGTAATTCTCTTTCAATCTCTTGTTACTTATCATTTTCCTTTTGTTGTTGCAGATACATGTCAGGGTGATTCAGGTGGTCCTTTGATGATGTTTTCTTCAAAGAATCAATGGATATTAGTAGGTCTAACGAGTTATGGTTATGGATGTGCGGAACCAGAGTTCTCAGGAGTTTATACTCGTGTGGCTGCTTATCAAGATTGGATATATTCGACAATGAACACCTCATACATTCAAACACCATCGGTTTATAATGTATACTTTTTCATTTTCTCATTCTTCTTATCATATCTAAAGGCATAGAATCAACAAATTTTTTTGATTATTCAATAAAAAATTTAATTTAGCATTCATATCATTGAATTAAACCTTATTAAATGAAAATTCACATTATAATTATAACAGCTTTTATTTCTGAATTGAAATTTAATATTTTATCAAAATAAAGCATTTAATTTGAAGTTTTCTATGAATTATGAATAAAATCATAGAAATAACTTAACCTTCACTTCTCTTGTATAGAACATTTAGATATTTCATCAAGTTTTATAATTAATAATCTCTCAATTTCTTAACGAACAATGTGTAATTATTGCGTTGAGATATATTTATTTGTAAGAGAAGGACGTGATTGTGCAAATTAGATAAAATATTTGAAATCAGTGCTAAAAACTGAGTTGAACTATATATGGGCAAAATCAGGCAGCATAGGACATTTGCACCTTTCATTTAAGGTTGATTCTCTATAAGAGTGAATTTTTTGGATAAATTCTTTTGGTATAGGCTTATGTGAAAATATTTAGTCTTTCACATGATTATTAATTAAAATTAATTAATTAAAAAGCAATTAACGAATATCACACTAACCATATGAGAAAAAAATCTGAAAACTTCAGGATAGGATCTAGGACACAAGTTGTATCTATGGTCAAGTTTTCAGCAAGATTGGATTCAAAAACGTTTCTTTCGAAAAAACCGTTTTCTAGAGACCCTATAAAGTGAAGAAGCGAAAACTTTTCTCTTATCATCATCCAGGAACTCTGAATAATAATCTGTAACGTTTGAAGTCGATTTTGAACTTTTTAGTCGGTTAGAAGAGCACCATTTCGATTGTGTAGTCACACTGTCACGTCGCTAAAGGTAGCTTTTTACCAGCAACTTCTCTGAAAAAAGCTTCATAGCGCTGATTTTTTTAGGATATCTAGAGTAACTTAATGTCCATGCAACATATAAAAATCAGATCTAAGAGAGCTTGTTATCTCGAGATTCACATATTTTAATTTTTCGAAGTCACGTCACTAACAAATGATTTTGACCATATATTCCTAAAAAACATTTTTTCCGCAAAAATCGACCTGTAGGAGACGAGAGACAAAATTTGAGAAAAATACAACCGTCGGTGAGTATAGGTCGGAGTGTGGGTGCTGTAGAATAGAACATTTACACCCACACCCATACCCTAAAAGCACAAATTGTACAATCTAAACTAGACAATGAAGACTATAAAGAAGCACAACAACCAATACAAATAGCCACATCAATATCGATAACACACCCATAAGGAAAAACATTACCAGATAACATTGTCATACATTATACTTATGAAAATCGATTCGTATCAATGAAAAAAGACATGTATGAAGTATTTCGTGAAGCCTTTAAAGAACTTGAAATAGAAGCTGTCAGACTCATTGTTGGACATCGAACTACTCCAAACTCTCAACGTGAACTCATACGTAAACGACCACATCTCAGATTGCTAACACTAAAAAATAAAGGTAACAGACAATGTTCACCAACATTTCCATTCGACTTTTTCACTTCTTACAATACATCATCGTATTTCTCTTTCCAGAGTGAAAGCAAAATCTCCAAGTACCAACTGCATCGAATAAATGATCATCTCATTAAATGCTTGCCTCGTGCATCATCGTCTACAGCAACAAAACTCATAAAAAACACTGTTCAAATTATTACATCCCAGTTTAGTATTAACTTTATAGTTTCATGATAAAAAAAATAAACACAGAGCATAATTAACAACAACATTTACATTGCACACACGAGAAAATTCTCTATTTTGTAGAGAACAATTTTTATGACAAATATCAACTAACTAACATTGCACGCTCCAAAACAAAACAATATTAGCGACCTATCTTTTCAAACAACCCAAACAATTCATCTAGATAAAATCACAAAACCTACCTAATTGCTTTTCATCTCTCAACTGCGCAAACAGTCATTATTTTTACCTATAAACACACAATGACGAAGACGATCTACCATGACAACTAATAATAGACATATTCTCTCTGTCGAATTCAAACGAGACCATATGATGATCCTCGTTGCTGAGGTGAAATGTTAACATTATAGTTGCTGTACTTACCCTTATCCTCAAGAAATTTCTGCTTTGTTTTATGTTTAAATATTAAATGTTGGTGGATAATATTATCTAATTATCTTTCCATGTTGATATATGAATTTAATGCAGTGCTAAAGCTACCTGAGAATTGATCCTTGAGAAACGTCGAGCCATGATCGTAGTTATTTCTTAATATAATACTCATTTTCACACCCTCAAGTTCTGTTTGAATCAAATCAATCAATTTGTTAACGAATCTTTTTTCAATTAATAAACGTTTTTTTACAATAGAACAGCAAGAAACAGACAATGGAGTAAGATAGTAGTAAAAAACTTATCATTATAAATCTCAAAAATATTGTGCATCATCGTTTATCTTTCTGATAATGTATATTGAATTATTGCTGTTGTGTCCGAACACCATTTTTGTGGTGTTGAATATTCTGCAGTTGTCTCTGCTGATAATGATATGTTTACTGTCATTCCCAATTGTAAAGTTGGCAAGCCTGTATCTTTGTTTATTAAAAATCCTAAAAATGGAGCTCGTATTTCTAATTCGTTACCTTTACTACTCCGCGCATAAGTTACAATGCCATTGAATGGTCCAGGTGCACAATCTTTAGAAAAACAAATGTAATGATTATCATATGGAGTAGGTAACTCATATGGTCCATCTAAACATCTTTTGATTTCATCTGAAGTTGGCTTTTCTTTCCAATAAACATATTCAGTGTAATAATCATAATAGGCAGGACCAAATGGAAAATTATTTTGTATATTCTCTTCTCTTATATATCTTGTCTCATTAGTATTATTAGCAGCATGATCAAGATAATAACCTTGATTATATGAACCATTATAGAATTCAATTTCAAAATTTGCATCAAACCCAGGTGCAGTTGGATAATAACCACCTCCATTTAACCAATAACCTGTCGTGTCATTCATATCAAGATTAATGGTTGTTACTACATAATACCTTCCAGCTGACGGTTTTGATGGATCACTTGGATCAAATCGACCCGGTCCAACTGAAGTGTTACCAATGATTCCATCATCAACGACACGATAATATATATATAATGATGTATCATCATGAGCTATTTTAAATTCAATTATATTTACATTTGGATTATAAATATGTTTTGGTATATCAGTTGATATTCTAGTAATTGTATCATGACAATCTGGAATTTTTATTGAAGGAAACCATGGACTTGTTTGATAAACTGTACCATCAATATTATCCACTGGGTCCGTATATGATCGAACATCTAACCAATCATCAAAATTACCATCAATTATTATATTACGATTTATTGGATCAGATTTCACAAACTGAATTACAGAATAAATAAGTAGTATTCGATTAGGCAAATTCATTTTTGTCGTCAGCTACTAGAAGAATGAAATGCAGAAAATCACATAAACATGCTTTTATACGAGTAACAGAATTTATCAATGTTATCGTGCACATCAGTTGTTGTCTAACCTGATAAATAATTTTTCATCATGAC